TTTTGATGAAAATCTAGGCTTTACAAAGACACAAAGAGGTACCTGCACTAATTCAATGCTTGCAAACTTGAGCTTTTCACATCTCTCTTACACGTGCGCTTTCATTAATACGTGTTAGTAAAATCACTAAGGAGGCCAGAAACTGTAATTGCCTATGTATCTAAAATGTAGAAGTATATTTATGTTTACTACTGAACTTTTGGTGCGCCTTCTTTCTGTAAATTTGGCATATCCTCAATGGTTAACCAAACTTAGACACCATACATGGTGAAGTCAGTTAATTCCCTTCATTTTGTAACTTCTTGTAGCATCTTGCTGCTGCACAAATGGAGATTTTAAGGTCTCTTTGCGTCAGGTAAAACAGGCAGAGACAGTCAGATGGGCAGAGATACATCCACTACCAACCATCTGAGCAGCAGCGTTAGGCAGGACGGAAGGTGCAGTGGTAACACAAAGCATTTTCAGTCGCATCCCGCAGAGCACCAGACCTGCACAAACATTGCTGTGTTTTAGGGAGCACTGCAAAGGCCAAACGAGAGAGAAGTTGGACGTCAGGAGGCAGCCTGGGCTGTGCCAGCAGCATGAAGTCGTCCCCCATGTCTTCCAGGCTCATTCATGTACTCATGTGTGACACGGGGGCAAGTGTTTTGTTACCTTTGGCAAGCTCCACTTTGGAAACTTCCTAAGTGACGCGTGCACATGGTATCACAGCCTTAGTAACATCGGCAGTGTTAGCAGAAATAAGAGCAAAATCACAAGCCCTGAGCCATGAGGAATGCCCCTTTAAGGGTCAGCAGCCCAGAGAGGTAGCACAGGTGCTTAGCTCTCCTTTTTCTGCCCAGGACAATGAGCTTCAAACGACTGCAGCAGGTTGCAGGCACCTGTAGCAGCAGCTCGAAGGATGAGGCCTTCTGAGTACCTAGGGACATCATTACGAGTAGCAGCTTGACTCTACTAGCATGGATTTCTGAAGTTTCCCTTTTGGATTGGATTTGGGGAGCGAGGCTGCCTTGCCTTGCTTCCCCTCTGCGTGCCCTAGTTGTGTGCATGGGGTGTTTCTGTTCTGCACCCCATCGGGGGAGGTGGGGACGGCCGACCCGTCCCATCCTGCTCCACGGTGCTCCGGGCT